CCAGTTTGTTATTAGTTATTTAGATTAGAAGGATTTTGTAGCGTTATTGGTTTAAACTACCTTCCGGAGGAGTTTAAACTATTTACAGATTTGAGCAAGCCACAAGGGCTATAGTCGGCGAGGTGGTGAGAATTGTTGCTACAGTGATGGACCATGGCGATCTTGAATAGCAGCGAGAAAAGGCGAAGCAAGAGGCTAGTTCATTAGCAGAGGCAGATATAGATTAGATTCCGATTACCGTCGGTTAGAAATTGTGTGGTGCAATTTCTAAACTGGGAGTGTGTAACATTTTTGTGAATAAGTACATAAGTGGTAATTAAACTAAACGCTTAAGAGTGGGCAGTGTTGACCCCTAATGCGAATTATTAATCGCAGTAAAAGGCATTGGGAAGAAATTGTTTCTGCAGTCCTACTGTATTGGACAGTCTCATGTAGCGAAGTGACTGGCCAAGCGAGATGGAATAGTGTGAGGCTGTCCCTAATGAGATCGTTGGTAGTAGTGGGCACTCTTTTAGTGTTAATAAATTAAAGCGGTTAGTATTTCAAGTACCGAATTAAACTTATGAGTAAAATAAATGATAGAATCTTATTGATTTGTTGCGTTCAACTCAGCCGATATTTAGCAGTGACTCATCGTTAGTTATTCTGAAAGGGATCGTTAAAATGGCAGTACTTGTGTTGCAACGTAGATCAACCGATAAACTGGGTGTAGTGGGCGACTTCTTGATGAATGGTAACGTGTATATCATTTGTTGTTTCGATGTATGTTCATGCAGGAGTGGTGGGTTTGCTTCGAGGAAAAATCCAACGTTCATCAGAAATAGAGTCATGTTTCGTCGAAGTCAGTCGGTGGAGAGTTTGATGCTGTTTTACTGGTTATGTTTTGAGTATTGGATTCATTAAAGAAGCCTTTAAAGCTGTTAACGTGGAATCATTTAGTCTCATTGCGGGGTTATCGTGTGAATATAGAGACAGTGTGTGCAATACTTTTGGCAGTGCAGAGAATTCGACGTAAATGTCTTCAGTACAATGTAAAAGCAAGAGAGATAACAGCAAATGTAAACGAGTTACGAATCAATCGTGTGCTCACATAAGACTTAAATACGGATCACATTATCATACATCATTGGAGATTGCAGAGTGGTGATTTGGTGCGATACTTCATCGTCATTTTTTTAACGGGTTGTAGAACGTTGTTGGTGAGCTCCCCAGACTCCTTTCTTTTGACGTGTTTCTAGTTTACACATATGATACAAAGAGTAAAGATGGGTCTAAAAGGGCAATAGGTACTGTACACACTCAGTGCTATGTTTCGAATACAACGGGTTTCTCTTTGGTGACGTATGACTTCTGTGATGGCATCTATAACACGAGGCTATGTGGATGGAGTACGTTGCTGGGTAAAGCTTTCAAGTCAGCCTAAAAAACAATCAGGATCACAAAGTGGTAGTTTGTTATGACATTACATCGCTTTTTCTTCTACCCGTTTTTTCATCCCATATCCCGCTGGTTCTAGTTGTTCTTGCTCGTTAGGAACTTCTTGTTGTAAATGATGATGGTTGTGATAATATGTATGACACGGCTCTGATGGAACTGGTGGTCATTTTGTAGAGCACCAGTTAAGATCACAGAATGGTAATTTGCTGCGACATTTCTTATAGCTGTTTCTATAGGAAAAGTGCAGCGGTTTGTTGGTATGTTGTCTTGGTTCCTTCTTCGTAGACGTAGTTCTGGTTTGCATATCAGAATCCAGCATTAAAAATAAATCAGATATTGGCGTGCGCAAGTATCCTGCACGCTCGGCTCTGAGTTTCGAAGACAACGACTTTCTCGTTATTGATTAGTGACTGGTGCGGTGAAATCTGTAACAACGCATTTTGTCGATGGAATGTGTTGCTGGTGAAGGCTTTCAAATTAACGTACGAAACACCAGTGGAGATCACAGGCTGGTAATTTGGTGCGACATTTTGTCGCTTTATGTTTGCTTTGTTTTTCCAGGAAGGATGTTTAGTTCGTTGTTTGGCAAGTTCTCCTGGTTACTTCTTTTCTTCGACATATTCCTCACGAGCTTTTTGTTGGTAACTGATGATGGTTGTGACGATGTGAATAGCACGATGCGCTGCTTCTCATGGAGAACGTGATGGAAAAAGTTTTACTGAAAGAACAGTGGCGAAGGTCATCGTAAAAAGCACCAACCAAGGTCTCATACTGGTTATTAATCTAATAATTCATCCATTCATTTCTTTTCCGGATTTTTTTTGAGGAGGACGTATGCTATGCGGATTATTTGAAAATTGTTTTGGTTCAAAATGGAAGATTGGTTGATGTATACATGGTTCGTTTGTGGTACATATGAAGAATGGTGCTGCTGTTCTGCTCAGCTTTATATGAGAATGTGCAGAGTATGCTTCTGATGGTCTGCACTAATGATATGCTTGCTTCGTTGCATAGTTATCCTATTATGCATCCTAAATTCCTACTTTGTGGGCGTATTTCTGGTGTTGTTTGCTGCCTCATTACTGTGATGATATATGGTGGAAATGATCTAGAAACACAGCCACTCGGCTGATATTGGATTGGCGTACGTGTACGATGGCCGTTTACCCTCCAAGAATCCTGGTTCGTGGCAGTCGCAAGCAGTATTTCTGGTGGTCCACACTACTGATGAGGATAAGCTGAGATGACGTTACAAAATTCGAAGCAAAATGAGGGAGATCAGATATGGTGGGCTATTGTAGAACTCAATTTTTCTTTAGTTATCACTTAACAAAGCTTGTAGACATTTTCATTTGGGAAGTATGCTTATTCAAAATTCCTGCTTCATTGTTTTTTTTTGGTTTGCCCGTGTGGTAAAAAAAAAGTGCTCAAAGAAGATTTCAAGTGTGATCTGAAGCTTTAGCACACAGCTGCAAATTTCGAAAATTAAGGGCTCTTCGGTGTTAATCTTTGAATCAAGTGATAAGTTCGGTGACATTAAGCTATATATGGGCGCACTAGTGGTGAGTCATTTGTTGTGACATTACCAATCATCAATCTGGATTTCGGGTGGGTTACTCCTGCAGAACGTCGAGAGATTTATGCTTAATGTTACTGCAGCAGTCATGGGGTTTTTTTGCAACCATCTTTAAGAGCAGGTTTTCTCTGCTGTGTTCGATGAGTATCCTGGTTCAAAATTCCTAATTTATTGACGTAACATTTGTTTCTGTGTGGATTTGGTACTAATATGCTGATCGGCTACAGCTAAATATTGAAGATTGTAAGAGGATCGTTGGCTACCCAAGAATCTTGTGGTATTACCAACAACACGCAATTCCGATGGCCCGTACCACTAATGGTTTATTTGGAATGCTGATACAAAGTGCGAAGCAAAACGGTTCAATGTAAATCTGGGGGCGTTGGTTTATCACTTGTTTCTTCAGATGTCGTTTAGTGAGGCATACCATCTGCCTTGTGGAATAAGAACACTGGTTCAAATTCCCGCTTCCCTTGCTTATTTCTATTTCGTAACTGGTTAATGGTTCTGGTACGGCATACCGGCGGTTGAACTATAAATGCAGTGTGAAAGTGTGCATCTTGGTTATTGTACAAAGAGGGCACCAGGGAACGCAGGATTGGATGGAGAACGGAATTTCCATTACGGCCTTGCCTCATATTCCTTCGAGGTTGGATGAGCAAGTTGTTTACAGTTTTGTTTGCCTCCATAGTATACCTACTTGGATACTTGGATGGTCCGTTTTCACTGGTTGTGCGGTCCTCAGCACAATTTCCGTGTTTTTACGGAGTTTTGCTTGTTTTGCTATTATGGTTCCCTGGAGCTTCGAGGTCAGCTCAGCCAAAGTCTCTCCAAATCAAATTAGTCGCCGCTCTTTTGGATCAAAGGGAAATTTGTCGCTATGCGAATAGTTCGTTATCAGGACCTGGTGGTGGATCTTAGTATTTGATTACTTTTAACTGGGGACCTGATGAAAACGCCCGACTCTCGACTTGGGAGACCCTGTTGGAGGTATGAATCCTTTCGCTGTACATCGCAGCACAATACTCAGGATCACCTTCCAGCCACGACAAGGCGGTAAACCTCTAGGAGGCCACACCATAGTTTCATTTATTCCACAACAGGTTCTTGGCGTGTACCAGCGCTTTGCTACTCACAATCAATGTTTCGAAACCGACCCGTTGCGACGTGCTACGTAGCAACCAGTCTCTTGATTATCGGTTTATTAATAGACTAGGTCTGGCTTGGTCTAATCATATTTGTTTTGCATCCCCTTAAATTAATGTCTTTATCTTACGGTTTATGAGTGACAGAACCGAGTTGTGCTCGAGTGTCGACGTCAAGAATGGTCGAGTAAAAAGGTGCGCGCTCATCATGTGCGGATGATTTCCTGCCGCGCGCGCGGTCGATTATACGCGATGGGCGGGGCGTGGCTACCCCATTCACTCTCTGTGCTTCGTGCGTGCGGTCGGCAGTTGCTGTTGGTTTGTACCTAGCGTACGTTTATTGGCTACTTCTGTTACTTAACTAATTTGAAGATGCGCTTCCATGCCTACGAATCATCGCCTGGATCGTCGTCTGGTGAAGATGGCTCTGGTGAGATGGAGGTGTCGCCTACCAGACTGCTAGCTATTGCGATTCAAAAGCGACGTGCATTGTTCGGCCTCAAGGAACGCGACTACCGACTCGAGCTGTTGCAGACTTCTTTAATCCAATCTTTGTGTAAGCATTTGGGTGAACGTAGAGCTCGCCGCCGCAAGCGCGGTGGCAGGCGGGGCGTTAGGCCAAACAAGGGTGATGATGAGTCCTGTGGGGCTCCAATTACTCGAGTTGAACCTATCGTTCAGAACTGTAATGACGATGAGCCGTCCGAGAAGCGACAACGCGACGACGGCGAGGACCCTTTCGGACTCGATGACTTCTTTGTTCGAGTCTGTGGGCGTTCGGTGACAATTAGAGGTTAATCGCAAGTCGTTTTATTGTGTCAGTATTGTTGAGATTGTGTTCCACTTGTTTGGCTTTAGATCAAAGGTGTGTACTTCCGCGATTGCGTCAACACATGTTACCATTTGTGCGGCAGTCGCGCTCAGGATAACTGGTCAAGTGTTATGTTACAAATCTGTTCCTATCTTGTACGCAAGTGTTTTCTGGGTGGATCATTTGTGTTACGGGTAGTACAAGATAGGTGTCTGTACATATTGTTGTATTTGATGAAATAAATTATGATTTATTGATGGATCTTATACAGTGCATTATAGGAGGATGAGAGAAGATGGCAAGTACCTATTTCCAAGTCGATGGAAGATCGTTAGGCTTGTTGAGGAGTTCGTATTGCTTTTTCGGGGTTGTTTTGATCGATTGATTTTCAGTATTTATGATACGGTCTGACGTTAGCAGTGAACGAGCATCTGCAGTCATATGTAACCAGTTTGTTATTAGTTATTTAGATTAGAAGGATTTTGTAGCGTTATTGGTTTAAACTACCTTCCGGAGGAGTTTAAACTGTTTACAGATTTG